CCAAGGGCTAAGGGGCTTAGGTCTGGTAGACGAAACTGAAAAATATTAATTGTAAAAGATAAGGTAATATAGGAGACGTCAGACAGTGTAAGACATGACAAAATAATAATAATTTATAAATTATCAAGGGTTCATGAGGGAGGGGAGCCGGGGATGGAGGGGGGAAAATGAGCTGATATCAAGATCTCAAGTAGAAAGCAAATGTTTTGAGAATGATGATGGCAACAAATGTACAAATGTGCTTGACACAATGGATGGATGTATAAATAGTAATAAGAACTGTAAGAGCTGCCAATAAATGATTGGGGAAAAAAAGATAACAGCACTTGGAAACAACAACAACAAAAAAGACCCACCCTCTTTAACCAAAGGTTGGCAGTTTAAATCCGCCCAGAGATGTCTAGGGAGAAAGTCCCACCGATCTTCCTCCAAAAATCCAGCCACTGAGAACCTCCGGGAGCAGTTTGATCTTAGCGCGTGAGGTCACCGTGAGTCAGGAATGATAAAACGGCAAACTGGTAGAGGAGACAGGAAAGAATCCCAGGAAACCACTGCTGTGACCCAACTGGCCACGCAACCTGAACCTAGAGCCCAGTGCCCTCTGCTTCCACCCACCTGCCCGTTGTGATTGCTAATGATGCCTAGAGAGTGGATTCTCTATTTTAAGGTCCCTGTAATTTTTTTCACACTTCCAACCCGACTATTTTAAGAGCGGAAAATTTTTTCCTTTACTGATTTTTCTATCTTCTAAGCAAAGAAACGGATAACCAGGAAAGTCAAGGATTGATCTAATGGTCTTCCTTGGTGGCAGTGATCTCCAGCTCTCCCTTACTACTTGGCCTGCCTCTGCCCCTGTGCCTCTGCCCACATAGCCTCCTTCCTCCCTGTGCCCACACTCAAAGCCTTGGTTTGGGGCACAGGTGTGCATCTGAGCTGACTATGTTTCTTCTCCATCATTTAATTTTTGTCTACTTGACTTGGGCCAGGCACGTATGCCCTCCATTGCTATAGAGTCTTCTAGTTCAGCTCATCAACTCAGACGAGATGGGTGATTTTGTTCATGTTTCACAGAAAGGGAAAGTAAGGTTCACATCATTCAAGACCACAGAGCGAGTGGAACACTCGGAAGGAGAGGCAGACCACTCACTTGGATTCCCAGCCTATACTCTTCGACCCGACGACGTCGCTGTCAAGTTAAGATGATGATGGTTTAAAGACCCAGGGAAAATGCCAACTCGAGGAAGCCTTAGGAAGCAGGGCACCGAGGTGTCTATTGACTAGAGTTTTCTAACAAGTCCACCTTGTTAGAAACAAGAGCAGACTTACGAGATTCCTCCGGGACATGGAGGTGGATGAGAGAACACAAACTCCCAGGGGGCTTTCATAAGTCATAATGCATCATAACACAGGACAGTGATGGCCAGTGCTAACAAGCGCTCCGACAGACTGAGGATGGAGACTTACCGTATCCCCGATTTTCAGGCCCTCACACTTCCTCTGCCCCGGGTAGGACACACCGTCTTGGCAGGTAGCGGTGAAGAAGAGGTTGAGATCCTCAGGCTGGTCCCAGACTGACAGCTCCACTTTCGACCGAATATTCTGAGCAGAGAGAAATAATGAAGCCCGAGTCATTTAGGAAGGGATACAGCTGTGATGCACCCCAAACTGCCTTTCCGACGCCCCCCTGGCTTCCGCATGACCACAGAGCACACCCCACTCCCACCCCAGCCTCCTGGCCTGAGGTCCCCCTGTGGGATCAAGCTCTGAGGCGGGGCTAATAGTCCACATCTAATTGTTGTGTCTCCTCCATGTACTACTAC